CCTTAAACACTGGACGGCCGTTTCATGTGCTCACAAGTGACTGGCTTCGGAAGGTTTTTCATGGCGTTCCAGTGAGAAACCGTGACCAGTGGAGTTTAACTCTGTCTGCTGTGAGGCAGTGATTCACTGATGACAATGGTGGTTGGTTGGTTGAAGTAAAACATCAACACCGTTGGATGCCGGCTCAGTGGTCTAGAGGTTAAGCGTTCGCGCGAGACCAAAGATCCTAGGCTCGAATCCCACGGGCGGGATCTTGGATACGCACTACTGAGGAGTCCCATACTAAAGCGAAACGGCCGTCCAGTGCTTCCAGGTTTTCCAAGGTGATCTGGTCCTAATCGACCCATGAATTCAACTATTAAAAACATTATAAATAAAAATGTGTGGAAGTCTGAAGCACACTAAATGGAGTGAATCCAGATAGTTTCACCATCTTAGTTGTTCTTGCTTTACAAAATTTACCAACAGAACCGCAATAGTGTTAACAATTATTGTTGATTTGTGGTTTTGCTGTTGCTGTGATCTAGTTCGTCTTTATGAACATCTATTTTGAAGAGTTTCTTCTACTTGCATTTTTTAGCACATACTCTCTACATTTGATCTCAAATATTTTCAAAATGTTTCTTACTACACTATCTCGACAAAGTCAATTCGTTTGAAGAAATCGTTCACAGGAACATCTCTATGCATTCAGAAATAGGTCTAGATTACATAAGGAAATAACTTACGACTGACGTTTTACTGAGTAGTGACCAATGATAGATAGTTATGAATTGTGAGATGTTATCAAGGCTATCGAATAAATTCTCAATAAGTCAGTCAGTCAGCTGCAACGTAGGATCAGGCACGTATATGCATCGGTTCAAGTTGCCATACCGCATTAGCACAACAAGATGAACACCGGATTCATAAAAGCAGTTGATTCAGTGGTGGTAATATATAGAAGAAAGATTGTGTATAAGGAGGTAGTACAGGAAGAAAGAATTAGTTCCTAGAAAGAAAGATTTGAAGTGATTTTAATCTCTTAATTTAAAGGAAGACAGAGAGTGTATGCACCGACGCCATTGTGATCGATTCTGAGCCATGTCACCGAGAGTCTCCAACCATTGGTTACGATAGTCACGCAGACCCCAACCAGGTAGTCTACATCTACCAACATGGCTCAGACCAGAAGTTAGTGACTTCAAGCACTGATGCCACATTTTGGTTTGGCCGCCAAAATTCTCAACAAACTTGAAAGTAACCTCCCTAGTAAGTTCTTGAATAGAAGAAGTCATTTCTCTTTTGATAAACCTCAAACATTAAAAATTTTTAAATGAAATTGAAAAATCGAATTTGATTTGGATCACCAGCGCTATTAATAAATAGTCCTGTTCTTAAGCTGTTTGTGGATAATAAGTCAACCTAAATTAAAGTCTGGTTCATAAATTTACTGAGAATTAACAATAACTGCCACGCATTCAAAGAAACAAAAATGAAAAGGCAAAAATGATTAACTCAAATACTTTTAAACCAAAAAGACATTGATTACTGTTTTCGTAAAGACGCGATTATGCTGTAATCAACTTGAAGGCTACTAATTTTAAGTACTTAGCATTAAATAATTCAAGAAAAATAACTCGATCGCTATTTCTCCAACTGATCTCGCTATGATGGTACGACCTCATGGACAAGTGTTCCAGCCAATGTAGCTCAACTTTCATCAAAGTAAGCAAGCCGATCACCATTTCCAGGTGGTACCTGTGGCAGGGAAAACGATCGATTAAGAGGAGGCACTATGATAATTAGGATTAATTGGATTATAGTATGAACTAAGAATCCGAGAAATAACGCAATTGAATCAAGAAGTACTACACAAGCACTAAGGAATGTATTGTATTTAGAATTCGAAATCAGGCATTCAACAAGTACAAAGAAATCATTAGTTCATTCAAACACCACAGACACTTCATTATCAAAGGACTATTTTCTTTTAGTTATAGTCATTTAAAAAACACTAAGCCTCAAGACTCATTAATTTCTGGTAATTCAATTGCATTACGATCAATGTAATGTATTTATAGATCAATAAAACGAAATCCAAAAACTAAACATCTTTACTTGATCTGGTCAAGAGGAACTTCTGCTTTTCGAATAGTCCATGAAATATCACTAATTCAAACCACACCTGTTCAAAAGAGTTACATTTTACGCTATTAGAATATAACCATTCATAAAAAACCCTGACATTAATGCGTTTCACCAACAAATGAAATATCCATTGGACTAACCCAATTTATAACTATCAGTATGGGATTGTGGAGATTGAGTTTTAGTTGAGAACACGAACCGATCAGTGTTGGACCACCATTGAAAACCTGGGAGCGCTGGGCGATTGTTTCCTTCTAGTATAGGACTCTTCAGAAGTGAACATCCATGAACCCAGACGTGGGATTCGAGCCCTGAACATTTGGTCTCACGCGCGAACGCTTAACTTCTAGACCACTGAACTGACAACCAACAGTGTTAATATCTTACTCCAACCAATCCACAATTTTATGCGACCATCTTCCAGTGTCTTTAGTGGCTAACTGCCTCATACCCGGCATGGTTGAACGCCACTGATCACAACCTCTCACTGGAACTCGCGCAGGTTCGTGATGCGAATCGCCTAGGATCAACCATGACCACAGTACATTTATTTTGAATTCGTAAAGGTTCTCATGTTATACTAGAGCGACATATTGAAACGACTACAAATAAAAATGTATGACAAAAACGAAATACAAGACAATTATATGATTGACATATGATGCAATAAGAGAAAGTCTAACCTCACTGTTCTGAGTAATTCTCATTCATGACCAATCCTTATCATAAGTGTGATGACTAGTTTTTAACCTGCTTTACATACATCAGGTATTGTTTCATTATTATGTTCTGGTTAGACACTGTAATGGCTGAATACAACAAGGAGAAATCTGTGGAAATTCGAAATCAGAATATTTTATCTATAGAGCCATAAATTTATTTTTTACTCAAATCAGTCAACAATCTAAATAACTTATGAGAATTGGAAATTGTGTTGACAATCACTAACCAATACAGACAGTATAAAAGTTTCAATCAATAGAAAACAAAACTTCAAGTTGGTGATACTTATTTCTTGCCATCGCTACCGCATCAAAAACAAACTGAACAAAACTAAGTGTTAGCCCATAAACTATGTTACTACTTCAAGCACATTAATGATAGATCTGAACGCATACCGCATTTATAGTGGACGAAAACACCAATGTGGGCGATCGAATGTATTTTAATACAATATTACAGAATATATTAGTGATATCTGAGAACCATACAGTAAAGGCTAATCAATTGTTTCAGACTTGATTATTTCTTCCTTTACACGCCAACCATTCTCTGTCCTTCGATCTTCTTAACTTTCGGCCAGCAGGAATTTCACTTCCGATTGGTGATACATACAACTGTCGACATCAGTAGCACACACATCACGTAATCATTTCGTATCAGGTGACTACAAGCTTGATTTATTGAGGTAGGCAAAACATAGATTTTATATTTTTGATCAAATTTTAACAAAATGGAGCAATAAAATATAGGTACACGTACTTTGCATTGAATTTTACGTGGTTTGGTACTAATCGACTATTCAGACTGACATAGTGTTGAATTTCAACCCATAACCCAATGGTAGTAGGGTGTGGTTGATCAATGAGCGAAGACAGACATGCAGCCATAGGAATATAAATGATCGTTTTGTATCCGACTGTGATACCTGACATGGATTTCACTGTTTTGTTGCTTGTACTTGTTAATAAACTAGTGTCTGGGTCATTTTTTTCTCAGTCCTTGGTGGAACTTTGTGTCTGTGCCTACTGCGTGGTTTAGTATTGTGATCTATCTAGTGATCCTACCGTGTAATGTGCAAAAAGCAGTTCTACATTATAATGTAGCGAAGGTCAGTTCAACTCCGAGTAGAGTTTGGTTGACTTTTCCGTTACCTATTTGGTAGTGCGATTCTTTTTTACGAGATGGGATTGCAAACTCTACGTCCAATACCCCTCCTTTAGATGGGGTTCGAACAAACAGTAGCTCCGGGTAAAAACCAATAAGCTGCCAGCTGAGGAGCAAATTAGAAGACACTGGGTGGATAGAACAAACTTTGCAGAAACCATCACAGGACAAGCCCCAACATGGAGTCCTCTGGGCAAAAGACGTAAACCAAAGATAGCGTCGGGAGTCGAGGGCAGACATTAAAACCACGAATGTCACTTAGTAACAACTGCAAACAAGAGCCTAGGAAGAAGTTACTCAGAGATCCCTGTTCAGTAACTTATGCCTAAAGAGGAGTGGCAGGTTCAATTAAGTTGTCGTAAAAAATTTAGCCAATGTTCTCCCTAACTAAGCAAAAGCCAAGTATCTAAACGGAATAAGCTAAAAAAAATATTACGTATAAAAATCCTGGAAAGTTTAATTTGCCAAATATGAAGATAACAACCCGACTTACGATAAAATTCATATTACTGAACAAATTCCAATCCAAACAATGCATATATTTAAATACAGAAATTAAAAAAATACAAAAAGCAAACCGTTCAACAATATTAAATTCAACAACTGATTAAAACAAACGAAATCATATCAACTTTTAACAACATAAAAGAAAGCACTGGATAGCAAATATAAATTTTGTTTCATATATTAGTAATAAGAATAACCAAAATAAGCGGGAAGTGATATTTCAATGAACTAGAACTTGGTTGGATTTATTTTTAGTAAAATGTTTTAATTGAACGAAAAAAAATTAATTCAACAAAATAACAATTATAACAGCAGTCAGTGGAACATAAAAAAAAACGATAATATTCCTATGTGGAAAACAAGTTGTTGAAATAAAAAGAAGGCGGTAGAATAGGACCGATTATAAGAATAGTAGGAGTATGGGAAGAAAAGAGTTTTGATCACAGCACTTTACAAGAGTTTCCATCCCAGGCATGTTACATAATAATTTGTGGTTCAACAACTGATTGGGCAATGCTTTTGTGTGGTAATACACGTGCACCATTTACAAATAATTCATCAGATACAATGACATCTTCACCTAAGACGGTGACATTTTCCATTCTTACCTAAAAATAATAATAAATCAGAATACATTGATGGTGAGAATATGAATTGATGCTGAGCAAATAACGTTTTATGAACTCACTTATCAGTTACAGATTCATGAAATGGCTTGAAGCCACATTTTAGGTGTAAGGGCTGGTAGTACTGTGCGGTTGCTCAGACTGAAGTATATAAAAAGAGGTTTGAACCTACGATTTTGTAGCTGAAAGTCGGATGCCTTAACTATTGAACCGTCGCTTTATTGACTAAAGAATGTCTGAGATAAAAGAATGCTACAATTCCAGTTCTATATTAATTATAGACAGTATACTACATATGCTGAGTATTTTAAAGTGAAGCTGATCTTGGAGAGTGGTGCTGAGAAAATCAAATTCTAAAATACTTTCATTAACGATGAAACAAACGGGTGGTTAACTGTTTTAAGTATGAAGTTTCGCATTAATTGCTAGTTATTAGCATGATAGAATCCTAATGATAGGATGTTTAATAAAGGCCCAAATCTGAATATGCTGATGGGTCTATTCCTGTTTAATCAGCAGTAGCAGATGGATCTAGAAGACACTAGGCATTTTGCACGGAAATTCTATTTGATCTCGTGCATTTTTATTATTTATTGTACAATACATTGTTGTACGGATTGGTTAGAATATATTTTGCTTTCAAATAATCCTAGTTTGTATTTGTCTCAAGTTAAATGAAGCGCAATTGTCAGTCATCATTTATTTATTTAATTCACATGAAATCTGGCACAACTGGGAATCAAGAATATAGTATACACCAAACGGAAATTTGTGATGCTGGATGGCAACCCAAGTTGAAACGCATGTTCCACATACCTAAAAGTCAAATCCACAAACTAGTGAAGCAACATCAAGAGGTCCCTTTTCGTGGTAGCTAACGACTAAAAACGGGTTAACATGCCATTCGTTCCTTTAGGATCCTGGAGCTTATATATACCGATGGTTTAGAATCAAGGTTTTTCAATTCTCCTAGGTGAAACTTTTGTATCTTCCAATCTGGTTTAAGTGCCGGACATTCGTGTTTTGTCCTATCGTTTCCGTAAAACAAATCAACTGAGTGCAGAACATCAGACCACTTTGACAGAAGCTATAAATGCATGGCCACAGAAGAGCATTTCGAAAGAGAGACCGCAGGCTTTCTCAACTTTCAGCCGAACTAGGGTATTAGAGGGAAAAGAGTACTAAGACAAAGAAGGATGTAATGTTAACAACGAAAAATGATTTTTTACATTGTTATGACAACTGAGTTTTAAACTTTCCTATAAAGCTCAATTACAAATATCCAGTGGTCTCTGGTTAATAGACAAAGACAAAAAATGAAAAATAATATATTTCTAAGACTGAACAATATCAAATAAGGACTTTAATTTGGTTATATATAATGTGAAATCTATCAAACATATACTCATAAACAATTTATTACACGTTTAAAATCAAGCAATATTATTACAACTTAGAACAAATATATATATATATATATATATATATATATATATATATATATATATATTCTAAGTTGTAATAATATTGCATGATGACATTCTTAAAGGAGTAGAAAGTATATCAACAGACTTACCCACTGCCCAACAGTACACCGCCAACCAATTATACAAGTTTCTAGCCAAGAATGCGAACGAATAATACTCCCTTGAAGTAAGGTGGAATTACGAATTCTTACTCCATCTTCAACTATACACTCTGGTCCAATAACAACACTCGGTCCAAGAACACAAGTAGGTGAAACTGAAGCAGTTGGATGCTAGAAAAATAATGAACGTCAAAAAAATTAAGGCTGTAGGAAAAAACAAAAAACATTATCAACAACGTAAGACCTAGTACAAGTATGTATCATTACAATTTGCTACACTCTACGCTATAAGGAACTGAGAGAAGAAACACGAATTTTGATCTCGATTCATTCTTTAAAAACCAGAGACTAATTTTCGAATGCTATTTATAAAGAAATAAATGATTAAATGATTGGCCTAATATAAAATAGATAGAATTTAACTAGCAGTAGGATTCAGGATATATGTTTCATCCCATTTCGGACTTGTCAGCTGTATATGCCTTCATCCCAGAGTGACTGTTCACTTCGGAATTTCAAATCCAGTAACTTTCTCTTCAAACGCCAATATGTTATTCACTTAGCTACTGAGTCCAAAATAGCCACTCATTTGTGAAACAGGCATCAGTCTTGACTTAACTAAGGCTGATCAAAGTTCGGCCAGGACATTAACAACGGGATAATCAGAATCGTTACAAATTAAATTTAAATTCAAACCCATTTCACAAATGAGTGGCTATTTGAATCCAGTAGCTAAGTGAATAACGTGTTGGCATTTGAAGTGAAAGGAATTGGATTTGAATTCTGGAGTTATTTAGAGATTTGAAATGTCAGTTATTCAAAAAATCTTTTTTGAGTGATTCCGGTAGAACTACTAAGCTGCCACTGCATCTTTAATCAATAAAGGCAAAGAAATAGGAATTCAGAAACGTGGACTGTTAGAGGCCGGGAGGTCGACGCTTCAGTCTTTAGAATGGTCATGATTTTAATCTCTTAGTTTAAAGGAAGACGAAGAGTGTATACACCGACGCCATTGTGATCGATTCTGAGCCATGTCACCAAGAGTCTCCAACCGTTGGTTACGATAGTCACGCAGACCCCAACCAGTTAGTCTACATCTACCAACATGGCTCAGACCAGAAGTTAGTGACTTCAAGCACTGATGCCACATTTTGGTTCGGCCGCCCCTAACTTTCTTCCAATCATCCCTAACACCGGTTAGCATTGCGCGTAGTGGTAATCGGTGTTCAGGCATACGCAGCACGTGGCCCAACCATCTCAGTCGATGAAGATTCATAACCTCATTAACTGATTTACCATCATTCTCTAATACCCTGCGTCTAACCTCACTATTACATACCCGGTGATCCCAGCAGATGCGAGCAATATTTCTAAGGCACCTGTGGTCAAATACTAGTAACTTACGAGTATCTTCTACTCTTAAAAGCCATGTTTCACAGCCGTATAGTAGAACGGAAAGAACTGCCGCGCAGTATACTCGTCCCTTAATTGATAGACGGATATCTCGCCTTCGCCATAGATGACACAGAACCTCTCGGTTAACACACTACTTAGTTCTATACTAAATGCGAAACATATGTCTAGTGCTCTATATTTTTGGATGACTTTCTAGTTGAAGTTAGTTCATCATGTAAACCACATTTGGCTAGAAAGACTGCACAAACCTTTCATGCCACAGTAGAAATTTTATCCTAAGAACATAATAAAAAGCATATAACTTACGATTAAAACATTCCCATGAATATTAGATCCAGTTGCTAATTCTTTCGAATGATCTGATTGTTTTAAGTAATTTAGATACAAATTTGTACCTTTGAGAAAATCATTCGGTTGTCCAACATCCATCCAGAACCCTATAAATAGTTATAGTATAATACAATCAGATGAGAAAAACACATGAATAACTATTAATCTAAATGTAACATTGATTGGTTAATTGAATAAACTGATTGAGCGACGATTGATAACCAATAGCCATGTTTGTCTGGTACTCAGTACTGATCGAATTCTATCGAGTAAGATGAAATGTAGCCACATTGGTCACTACTCTATGATCAATCATCTGTAAATATGTTAATCTTACAGGAAGTCAGTCACTCTCCGAATGCTTCTGTGGTAACAATCCAGCCTATGAAGCTAGATGATGTGGTTTTGACATACACAAGAAGTATCCGTTGTCCAAAGATTGAATGTAAGGATTGTTGACAGATACCAGCTAGCACGAAATCTAGGTTGAAGATGAGTACACAACGAGTTAGGGACGCTAATTTTAGTCATTAGGTTAATATAAACCTAAAGATGAATAAAAAACAGTATGAAGGAACAACATCAACTTTATGAAATAAAGTAAATTACTATTCATCAATATGTACTCAACCCATCTTTGATCTATTTACTGATACAAGTCTATCTTGCCGTGTCATTGAAACCTTATTATTTTATAATGACTAATAACTATTAATTCATAATTATATTCAATCTCTATGATCCATTCGCTTCCCTTTCCTAGTCTTATGTGATATACGCTTGATCTGTTGACATAGTAGGCCTGATATAAATCACTCCCAATTTTATTTGCCTTGAAATATCTTGTGTGCATATAAATATGAACACACGACGGGATTTCAGCCTCAGAAAATGTGTGAATTTAGCAGGGACTATTTTTAGTAAGAGGAAATAAAAATTCACGAATGAAATCAGAACTTCACATATATAATGAATGGTTACACAATTTTATATAGAAAGTGAACTATTAAATATGATTATCCTTAATTTGCAAAATATCAAATATAGGATAGTGCTAATTTTCAAATTGAGTATTTTGTCGAAAAACATAGTTTATAAATGACTTGAAACAAGAAAAATAAAAAGATTTCTTTCCTAAGAAGCTATAGTAATACCACGGATCAAGGGAAGAATTAGTGCACCGAAATACAACTGAACAATATTTCCGAACATAAACACAAAAATGATTGTCTTAACAATCAGACAAGTGAGCATAGAACGAAATACACAGTCTATTTTACTGGTGATGAACAAAGCGAAGCTGTTGCACTATTTATATGATTCAATGAGTCACTAAGAATTTTGATCCGAACAAATAAAATGACGCTGAATAAACTAGGCTTTTTGACAAGTTGTATTTTAATGCTCGCATAATAAAATCGTGTTTCCAAACAGTTTGTAAACTGCAGTGTCATTGTTTAAGTCAGAAGCAAAGCAGATATTCACCTATAAAGTTGGATGATCGTTGTATTGTACCATGAGCTAACATAATTTAAAATTGATATAAAAGCAACGTGATTAACGTGAAATCTGAGCTTAAGTATTCCCCTAGTGTATGGGCACAAGAGTCCCCTAGGATAACACGAAACGTATTACAGCTTCTTCAACTAACGTCAGTTCGTAGTGAAAACGCTTTTTAAGCTAATCAAATTTCCAAAGAAGCATTTAATTGAATAACAATTATCCTTACTTAACAGTAAACGTAAGGCGTTATTAATTGTAAAATATAAAAACTATTATAAGATCTTTGGAATTTACAGCAGATGAAACAGGACCCGATCAGCACTAAAGGACTAGACGAACACTACATTGGTTACAACTCATTTACCAATTAACTATAAACGTCTTAATCTTACAGGAGGAAAGTCGGCACCTGAATATATCAGTAGTAACGTCTCGGAGTGTGAAACCGGGTGAGGTGAGTCTGAATACTACAGGTAGCATCAGTTTCCTATCTCAAGATTCCAAGTACGTTTTGCTGATAAACGCCGACTAGCAATAAACATGAGTGAAGCACGGTTCTGGGTCAATCAGTCCAGATCACCTAACATTTCAAGATACTATATGCAACATTAATTCACCTAGACTAATAGTCACAATTTATCGATAGAATTCTATTAGCGCTAAAGGACTGGATAGACATTAAAGTGATGGCTACTCAATTATCAATTTACAGTCTAAGCTTGTTATTCTAGTTATAATTTTTCCGACAATGAAAAACTATAGTGTGATATAAGGATGTTAAGTTATAGAAGAATTATTGTAGAACATTGAGAAAATTATCAACATAACTGGCTAATCTTCTGAACTGGATTCCTATCACAAATTAAAATAATTTGTATACATTAAGCTTCTGTAAAAAAATGTGATACTAGTGTGATTCAATATGCATGAAGATTTTCAAAAATCAGTCGGTCAATCATCTACAATGTTGGACAAGGCATATATACGAATCGGTCCAAGTTGCCTCATTTCATTAGCACAACAAGATGAACACCGAATTCATAAAAGTAATTATTTCAATGGTGCTAACATATAAAAGAAAGATTGCATATAAGGACATAGTACACGAAGAAAAAAACTAGTTCGTAGAAAGAAAGATATGAAGCGATTTTAATCTCACTGTCTAAGGGAAGACAATGGGTGTATACGCTGACGCCATGGTGATCGACTCTGAGCCATATCGCACAGAGTCTCCAACGATTGGTTACGATAGTCGCACAGACACCAACGAAGTAGTTTGCATCTACTAACATGGCTCAGAACAGGAGTTAGTGACTTTATGGACTGATGCCACGTTTTGGTTTGGTCGCCCCTAATTTTCTTCCATCAGTCTCCAACACTAGTTAGCATTGAGCGCCGTGCTAGTTGGTGATTGGATATGCGTAATAAGTGACACAACCATCTCAGTCGATGGAGATTCACAATCTCATCAACTGATTTACCATCATTCTCTAATACCCTGCGTCTAACCTCATTATTACTTACTAAGTGATCCCAGCATATGCGAGCAAGATTTCTAAGACATATTTGACTGAATACTAGTAACCTCTACCCTTAATGACCACGTTTTGCAGCCGTAAAAGTAGAACAGAACAAACTGCCGCGCAGTATACTCGTTCTTTTATTGATAGATGGATATCTCACCTTTGCCATAAGTGACGCTAGTTGACCAAAGCCAAATGAGCTTTTTGAATCCGTGCTAAGATTTCGTCAGACACCAACCCATTAGGACTGATCAGACTTCCAAGATTGGTGAAGTTGTTTATTCATTCGACTACTTCATTCCCTATCCTTAGTTGAGGTGTTGACGTAGGCCAGTCCTGAAGTAACAATTTGTATTTAGAGGGGGAGAAACTGTAAGTTACAGTTATTTTAAATGAAAATCAGATATACCACACTGATGCTCAAACTAATTTAATCAGTGAAATGAGTATTTACAATGATGATTTTATGGAATAAGTCGATATATCACAGGTTAGCAAGAATAACAAAAATTCATACTCGAATACAAATTGTATCGAGTAAATATTAATTTTAGACAGAAATTTACCTGGTAATGTCATGCAATAAAGCTGTTTCTCGTTTGCCATCTCTGGGAATATCTCTTTTTCAATGGAAGTTGGGCGTAACTGAACAAATATAAGCAAGAATAGCTTATCAGTATTTGAGTTAAATTACACCATAAAAACAAGGTGTTGAGAATTTGCACTGAACAACAAGTAACTAGCACAGTTAGGTAAACATAGTTCGATAAAAAAACTAGTGTTTGAGTGTCTATGTACTTCACAACATATGTTCACTGTTGTCAACCAGTGATATGCAACGTAGAAACTAACACAAAAGTGTATCGATTTATGTTGAAACAGTATGAGAAAATCAGTAAGACAAGGAGAGGAGGAAATATCAACTGTATCGGAGATTTAAGCATGAGAGATACACTTATCCAATATCTTCAACAATTGACTACAGCTATTGTACGGGCTCCAATCAAGAGGTTTGTTATTAAGGACATAGAACAGCCCAATAATCAGTTACCTGATATATTGACAGTCATTCCCTGGCATTTTCACTCCAAGCTCCTAATCAACTAACACTCATTCTGTGAGAGCATAACGCATCAGGACAAGTGCTAACAAGACATATGTTCCAACCACTTCAGTTTATGCAGGCTTATCACCTTCATCAACCAAATAAATAGTTTCCCTTAAAACTCGGATCATAATCTCAGCATTACTAATCTGCACGTTCCAAAATTTCTGAGTGATCTCGTTTATTATTTAATTATAGAGTACATCAACAAATGCATTTGCTGAATAACCTGAAATTGTTCCTTTTTACCGAATTTTATTTTTGACAGAGTGGGATAAAGCAGTTTCATTTGGTATTTTATGTCACAAAGGCAAACAGTCGTAGGTACTTTAGTTATATGAAAGCAGATATAAATAATTGTTGATTAGCAATTCTATCTTAGTCTACTGAACACTAAACTAATAAACTGATTCTTTTTTGTTAATATTAACACAATACCCGGTACATATTTGTTTGGTTGGCTTCAGGTCCCACTCCAAGTGTAAGGACCAGTAATACTAAACAGTTGTCCGAACTTAAGTTGTCAGATGGGAGTTCCAATCCAACTTAGTGACTCGAAATTGAGCACCTTAACCACTGGGTTATTCCTCTGATGTACGGGTTTAAATATCTCAATAATAATAACAATAACTTTGAAAACGACTAAAACTAGACTAGATCGATAAAATAAATTTTTCTTGGCAATGAATGATATATCTATGGCAAAAAAACTGAATTTAAAGTAATAGTGAGTAATAACTACACAGCAAAATTTCTTACAGGAATCTTATCAATAACACTAGGATTAAGTAAGTATATACCGGCATTTATCTTATTACCAACAAATTCAATTGGTTTTTCAACAAAACGATCCACACGTCCAGTTGTTTGATCGTAAACAACAACGCCATATTTTGAAGGTTCTTCAACTTGTGTCACCTAGTTGAAACCAAAAAAAGCAGGAAACTCTAAATCGTTGGATAAATCACAGAAACTTTACAGTATGTATACGTTCAACATATATACATTATTTTTCATAAATCAATGCGTGGAAGAAAACTATATAAAGCATGATTTGTGGGGTCAGCAATAATAATAAATAATAAATCGTCATTTAATCCGTTAATGAAATATATATCTACGAAATACGTGGTTACATACTCGGCTTTGAACCATATTTTACAAGTGAGGGACAGTTATTATACCCGATTACTTCAACCAAATTAAATTTAAATAAGTACGACCTAGTAACCCACTAAATCAAAGGATTATTGATTCACAAACTAGGTCACTGCTATACATTGTACATCAATGTAACTACAAGGATCAAATAAATAAACCTGTACTTTACAAGTGAGTTACCTTAACTGCCCCAGACTTCAAATTAAATTATGCCTGAACCGAATGAAATATTCTATAACATTTCCATAATTTTCAATTAGTCATGATGCAACTAAAATAAGGTATTAAATCCACGTGAATGGTTAACGTACACAGTTAACCCTTAAAACATTGTCACATAAAGTGGAATAAACTGATTGTGTAAGTATAAATAAAGTTTTATCATACGAGTCAAACATACTCACTTTAATAGTAGAATCATATGATACCATAACACATTAGCACAACACGATGAATAACAAAGAAATAGAAATAATGTAGTGACAGTGATGACGACAAAGACAGAACATTGAAGAAAATTAATGATAAATATTTTTTTTATATCCCAATGAGTAGAAAAATTGTTTTTCTGACATTTCATGACTTAAAGTAAGCCACTTCTTCAAAGTAAATAAACAACCGAATTAAACATGTGTTAATTTAATTCGGTTGTGCATTTACTATAAAGAAGAGGCTTACACTAGATCACGAAACGTCAGAAATACAATTTTTCTACTCATTAGGATATAACAAAAATATATCTGTTATTAACTTTCTACCTAATGCTCAATTTATTTGAAACTCAAGTCCAACCTTGGCAATAATACCTATAAACTGAAGATTGTTTTGAAAGATGAAAAAGAAAGAACATATCTATGGAGAAAGGCTGAAAATCAAAATCTATGGTAAGAAAAAGAGTGAATGAATTTTTGCCATTACGATCGACTCTCAGGCAAATTACTCAACGCCTCCAAACACTGATTTCTGTACAGATCCCATCCAGGTAGTATGTATTTACCTACTAACAATACTCATTCCAACAGTTACATTGAATCAGTATTCGAAACTCGAGGTTTGAAGGGGATTCGAGAGATATGACTCATAACCTTCTATGCAAACTCAGAATTTGTCTGAATATCGCTAGTAAATTAGGTTATGATTACCAGTAGTGAATTTTTCCACTTACAGTCCACGACAAGAAAATCATAATTATAGTCTGTACTTAATTCAGTTGATTATAAAACGAATACACTTTTAATATACACATTAGTTTAACTGTTCAAAAATGCACACCATATTATTGTTACTATTATCCACATATTTTTATTACTATTATTATCACCATAATTTATATTAATCTTCCGAATACATGAGGAACTATGTTACCGCTCTTCCTACTTAACTGTTTCTTACTAAATTCACTTCTCATGCAACACGTAGTCCTTTCACCAAACATTTGATTCGATTGTTATTCTAAACATTTCACTTAACGTATAAACTTAATCAAGTTAACATTGTATATTGGTCATTTACAGATAAGCCTGAATTTATATGCTACACTAGTAAACAATATATTTGCTTTTAATTTGATCATTCTTTTAAAAGATGGCCCCTAAATACCCTGCCGCGGCCATGAGTGGGGAGAGTCAGCCCACCGTCTCGAAGCACTCTCACATAGACACACGTATACAGCCACTGCCACGTAAGTCCTACTCACTACCTTCTCGGGGTATTACTATTGTTTACGAAATTGAGAAAACAAAAAGCGAATGTCCAGTGCTTTGACCGGATTGGTGGACATAGAGGATCCACCTGACGAAGTTGGAAAACCCTGATTTTGAACTAATGGTGCACATGGGCTCCAGGATCCTAAGGGAACAAATGGCGTATGAACCTTTTGTTGGTTACCGGCTTCCATGGGACTGTATTTCCTAACGTTGCTCCTCTGTTTTGTGGACTAGACCTCTAGATTAAAGATTCGGGTAGTGGTCCACTAAGAAAACCAACTGCTATGGTTCAGACAACCGGGAAGTATCCCAGTCTTCACATGAATCGAATAATGAAGCGTGGCGCATTCACATTTGGTGCCCCATTGTATTAATATGTGTGTTTAAATAAATAAATAGAAATTCGAATGATTAATTTTTGTGTATAACTGTAGAACGTGATGAGAAATTTATTGAAAAAATAAAATTCTTCGTTTATTTACAGTATTATTATTAAAACACAACAATACCCTGCTGTTATATCCCGATGAAAATAATGAATGGTAACTTTTGCGACCCATTTATGGACCAATACTATACGTATATTTTTATCGTATAACTGTTAAATGTCTAAACTATTCGTATTTGTGTCCCTCTTATTATGAGCTTTATTTTGACCTATGAACTGTACTTACACGACTTACCATTCTTGAGTTGTGCCCAGTCTATCAATTACTACCTCCCATATTCACAGCCACTTTTGGTTAAATCTTGTACAAATGTCGTTTCCTGTTTTACGGTACAACGTCATCTGTTTACTTTGTATATAAGCCCAGTATGTTTGAAATAAATGATTCATATCGCAGAGGCTGAGATGGGTGTTCTGGACTTAACAGGTGGGGCTAGGAAAGAAGCAGGACCGATAAGGACTCTAGACTGCTCGTGCTTGTTTTATGCGTCATTGGTCCGGTCGATAATTCACTGTCCTTTAATTGGCGACATCATCATGTTATACATTAACATGGCACATAGGCCACAACTTATAACACCTATATTGTAAGAAATGTCATATTCTTCTATTATAATAAAGTATCCATAGGCTATTTACCAATTTTTAGCGAATATGTTAATTTTATATTCGTTTTAATTTAAACACATAACCAAAAAGATCTGCAAAAAAAACAATACTGTGAACAGATTTTTAACAATATTTACAAAGTTCTTGATTGTCTACATTTTTATAGATTGGAAGTATTGTTACTGAATTATGACACCGTCATTTGTACATAAATTAAGTAAACTACTTATAAGACGTATTTTCTGATAAAACTTGTATAGCAAAATATAGTACACAAGGAATACTTGAAAGTTAAAATACTAAGTATTCTACGGCGTATACGTCAGGACACACAGCAATATTACTAACTTGTTTCTGTTCACAATAAACTTTTTGATTCCTGTGATATGACGGGGGAAGAATTAATTCTGACAGTCAAGCATTAATTCCATTGAAGTAAATGACTTATGGTTGCCATATTTGTCAATAATTTATTTGTTAAATCACTCCTACTCATGTTTATTCTTGTGTTCAGTATTTTATAATGTAACAAAGTTATTTTGTTGGAAGAAAACCCTATCCTACTAGGAAGCTCTCTTAAGTTTGGATATAAACTCCACTGAGGGCTTACATCAACAATTAGATTTCGCGAGCGTCAATCACTCGGCCACATTATGTTATTACATTCTATCTATCGACCATTATTTTCGTTTTAACAATCGAGTATTAGCGTGTCAAATTATACAGTTCTACCCCATAACAGACTGTCGAATTGAGTTTTGGTATTACGCCATTGATTTTAAACTAGAAATATGTTACGAAATCTAAGCAACTATTTGAAAAACTCAACACGGAAAAATATTCATTTGTTTAGAAAATAAAGTAGCGAATGCATTTACATGAGGGAGAATTTATTCAGTAAACTCACCAAAATAGTTCCCGATTTTCCATGATTTTTATGAAATGCCATGACTGTCTTGAACGGGAAATCACACATGATATCACTGTTGAGCACAAAAAATGGACTATCGTCCACGAGGAGCATATCTTTAGCTAAGGCGATTGGACCAGCTGAAAAGCAATAAATATATTACAAATGTTTTAGCGCATTTTGAATGTGGTTAATTATGGAATCCACGACGCATAAATTCCAGTTTATTTGCGACTCACTTGATATCTGTATCCCAGTGTTGGATTTTGTACTTATACTGGACAACCAACAAAAAGTGAACAGAATTCAATCCTGTATAGCGACAATGTGATCACAGAAACCCTTACAAATCGGTATTAGGTATGTGAATAAGAAGACTACTCCCTTATCGATGAAAACAACTATTAGGGGAATGGTTCACTGAAACTATACTATCAGCAGCCTAACCTTTTTATCCCATACCTTACTGAACAACAGATATTACTAATTATGCCTCTAGTTTTATTCTGATTCATTGATGTATACCGCATTCCAGAAACCTGTATAGACGACTAACGCGTGACTAATCGGTTATTTTACTGTCTACAATATTCTCTTACATCGTGTCTAGAAACTTCGCGTACGTAGTTACCAGGCTCTTTCAAAGAAGAAATTCCATTATTTGACCACGTTCTGGTTTATTATGGTGCCACAATTGAGCGAAAAAATATTACGAAACTTATCTATCGCCAACTGAAGCCATTATTCAGCCAAACACTGACTCCAGGTCTAAGAACACAAAGCATAAACTTCGGATCTTCCCTAAAAAGTCAAACAAGCATATATATCTTTTCCACACAAAATGCGTTCAGTGCTTAGTATAGAGAAACTGGAGAAAATAACGAAGAGACCTGGAAATATTTAACAGAATTTCTGCCCACTAAATAAACATTGATGATTATCTTTAAAACGTTTGCCTGTGTAACGATTTAAGCTTAGCAACGTCAAAGTCAAACAAGTGGTCGAGAATTATTTGGTTTGATTACTCATAACATTAGAAAAATAAAAAGTAAATAGTTGCCTATGCCATCAGCTGATGTTAAAAGAAATTGGTGAAAATGAGAATTTTTCGGCACCTATCCTTGAGTTATAATCAGGTCATCAAGCAGAGTGATTCAAATTCCTAGTTAAACTACTTAAGGCATTTAGATCAACGCGAACAACAATTAACACTAACGATGTTTAGTGTTAAGATTGAATGTGCAAAAGAACTATGAAAGCGCGTAAATATTCATACAAAGGTATTCAATTTATCAAGTAATAAATGATGCTCTTCTGTTATGGCTGAAGAATTTAAAATTAGTAAAGCGAGACTTACCAGTTCCCATTGCTTCAGTCTCATAGGAGAATGTAATTTTAGTTCCAATCTAGAGTCATAGGACAAACAAATACACTAATAATAGTAATAGTAATAATAGTAATAATAATAATAATAATAATAATATCTGTACTGACTTAAGACTGAAAACTGTTACCAACTGTACACAATGTAACAAACGCATTCGTTAAAAATGTAGAATGGATCTGTGACATTTTAAGTATACATCAGTTGAAGATGTTTTATATCATAACCTGATTTAACTTTTAGTAGTATTGCTAGGTTTGTATATCCAACTTTGATTTACTACTTTATTCTGGCCAATCGGGCACTACCATACTAGCTCTCTCATATGAAAAATGTGAACCAAATCTAAACAGATAAACCTATACTTGGTTATTAAGATACTTTAGTTGTATTATATAATTTTTATTTTAAACATTGGGTCGTAGGTTTACGATTATCATAGTATGGTTTACATGGATATTGGAGTACAACCTTCATACAATACGCCCCCAAATGCCCTGGTATGGCCGAGAGTGGGGTGGGTTCGCCCTCTCTCTCGAAATACTCTCACACGGCCACACGTATACAGCCTCTGCCAGGGAAGTCCTACTCACTGCCTTCTCGTGGCGGGGGTGTTGTTTACGAAAATGAGAGGACGAAAAGCGAATTTCCGGCGCTATAACCGGATCCCAAATCAATGGTGCATATGGGCTCCAGTATCCTGAAGGAACAAATGGCGTATGAACCAATTTCTTGGTCACCGGCTTCCATGGGACTGCATCTCCTCACGATGCTCCACTGCCTTGTGGGTTAGATTTTTAGGTCGAAGGCTCGGGGTGTGGCCCCCTAAGAAAGCCACCTGCTTCGGTTTGGGCACCCGGGCAGTATCACAGCCCACACACAAATATAATGAAAATGATGATGTTCTCTGAAAACTCTATTCACGCCGCGATTTACCGTCAGACAATTAACATTATTATTATTGTTATTACTATTATTATTTACCACGTCATTTATTCTCTCTTTTATTTCCACTGTCTATCCTTATTTTTCGACTTATACAGCAGCTCGCCTATGGTGGACATTCGGATCTATCTAAACGTTCTCGTGTCACTGCCTGGTTGAAAATTGTATGTTACCATCGAATAAGAATACTGAAGCAGTTTTTCTGAAACCACGTGCACCATTCAAACTGGCTGCCTTTAACGTTCGCACACTTATGCAGGTCGGACAACAGATAGGGCTGGCTATGTCTTTGGAAAGTCTTAATATTGACGTGTGTTGTCTATCCGAGATCCGTATTCAAGACTCTGGTGAAGTACTACAAATTCGCTCTCCATCTGTCACTTCAAAATGCTTGTTTTACGTGCGTTTATCCGGAGACCCTGTGGCATCTTCGTCCGGTCTTGCTGACGTTGGTGTCGCACTAAGCGCTAGAGCTGAGGCAGCACTAATCGATTGGATCCCCATTAACAGTCGGTTATGTGCTTTTAGATTAGAAAGTACCATCGAAAGGAGAAGAAATCGGCGTGAGAAACGATGTCTTTTCGTCGTCTCCGCCTATGCCCCGACAGATTGCAGCCCGGATGCAATCAACGATGAATTCTACCACCAGTTAACTGTTCTAACTGACGACGTTGTTTGTAAAGGTCTGGGAACTAGAGAGTGTACCAACGTCATGGAATGAGTCGATAGATTTCCTTATCATTAAAAAGGGTTCACGTCGTTCCTGTAACAACTATCGGGGGATAAGTCTACTTTCAATTGCGTCCAAGCTATTGGCTTCCGTTATACTTCGTAGGTTGTTCAAAACACGAGAAAGATTGACTCACCAGGAGAGGCTGGGTTTCGTTCTGGTCGAGGATGTATTGATCATATCTTCACCCTCTGCCAAGTGTTAGAACACCTCCATACTTATCCAAGGCCAACAATCGTAGTGTTTCTTGACATCAGGGCTGCCTTCGATTCGTTGGATAGGACTGTTCTCTGGGATTGTCTATTGAAGAAGGGTGTGCCTGAGAAGTGTATTAACATCCTAAAAGCCCTATATACAAACACCTCAGGCAGAGTGAGGGCATACAACCATCTTTCTCCATTGTTCCATTCAAGCAGTGAGGTTAGACAGGGTTGCCCAATCTCACCATTCCTCTTCAACTTTGTAATCGATAACATTCTGGAAACAGCTCTGATGGATGTAAGTAATGGTGGTGTGGATCTGTTACCTGGAGAAAGACTTCTCGACCTTGAGTATGTGGATGATATTGTCTTACTGTGCGAGAATGCCCAAGCTATGCAATCCGCACTTAATCAGTTGGCAATCAGTGTCCGTAGGTATGGTATGTGCTTTGCACCTTCGAAATGCAAAGTACTTCTACAAGACTGGCAGGATTCTAATCCTGTACTCACTCTAGACGGTGAGCAGATAGAAGTAGTCGAGAAGTTCGTGTATCTGGGTAGTTAAATAAGTGGTGGTGGTGACGTGAGTGATGAGATCAATGCACGTATAGTGAAAGCCAGAGCGGCTTATGCCAATCTGGGTCATCTTTGGCGCCTTCGTGATGTTAGTCTGGCTGTAGAAGATCGAATCTACAACGCATCAGTGAGAGCAGTTTTGCTATATGCTTGTGAAACCTGGCCTCTCCGAGATGAGGATGTTAGACGACTCTCTGTGTTCGATCATCGCCGTCTCCGAAGGATTGCTGACATCCAGTGGCAACACCGTGTTAGTAATGTAGAGGTTCGGCATCGTGTATTCCGGCACTGAGACGATAATCCAATTGGTGTAACCATCTTGAAACACCGACTTCGGTGGCTTGGACATGTTCCACGAATGTCATCCCAGAGAATTCCACATCGTGCATTATTTGCCGACTCTGGGACTGGTTGGAAAAAGTGGAGAGGTGGTCAGTGTATGACATGGTGTTGTGGTATAAAAGAAAGCTGCAAATGGCTGGCTTTTGTTGGTCCTTCATGACTCGCTGGCTGGGGTCCGAGAGATGGTGTAATACAGTGGCTAGAGACGTTATCAGATATGGCTCATAATAGAAGCCAGTGGCGATCCTGCTGTAACCTTTTTTTAATTTCTTCGTAAAAAGTGGTTGCTTCTTCCTTAACTGTAAGATTTCCTCTGATTGTACCTTTTCGTTTCCCTCATTTTTATTCTTTTTTTTATAATTCCCTACGTTCCTTACATTTTTTTCCTTCTCTTTAAATTCTCATTGTTTTGTGTGGCGCATAAATATTTGGTGCCCCCTTGTACCAATGTTTATGTGTTCAAATAAACAAATTCATACAATACGGCGAAATCAAAATTTCAGTCACAATCTTGCATGAGTCATACACTTTCATCAGGTATAGTCGTCACTAGCTATTTCAACCAGTAAAAAGTATGTGAGAATAACCTTAACATTACACAGTACATTATCATCTGAATTAAACCAATAAACTAGTTATTTGTAAAATGAGTAATAAAATCGATCTAACAGAAATACTATTCTCATAGCTCACTATCAAAAATTCATGATAAATTATCTTACTTTCTTTTCATACTTTTTTAACTCTTTTTCTAAGATATCACTTCGATCAGCACATTTGCTAACAGCTAATATCACCTCTGATACTCCAACCTACAGAAAATTAAGAAAAAGAGAATTACAATGGGGTACAAATATATCAATAAACGATACCAATACTAATACACAAACAACTTCATACATATGATAAACATGGAATGGGTTGAATATCACAGTATTTTGGTGGGAAAACTAATCTTATTTTTCATAAGAGATATTCTTTTAAAGTATGAACTAGCTGATGAATCGAATCAACTATCTGTAAGTGAATGGAGACGTGAATTCGTATTCTAGAGTTCGATTACTTAGTGTTATATAATAACTTTCTTGAAAACGATTACTTAGCCTGCATGCTAGTTAAACAGGCAAATGGAAACGAAAAACAAAGATGGGTTGGTTCATTCTTTACAACTGATTACCATCAAACTATAAGGAGGGCGACAAACTGATCACCAGGTTTAATGTAATCGACTACGTTACATACTTATACAAGGAGAAGTATCTGCTTAACTTTAATTTGCCAGCAATTACAACCCAGCTAAATAATTGAACACCATGAAAATGACTGCAAGACACAAAAAAGCGATCGCTGATGCTTGAATAGTAGCTGAATGAACAAACATTAACTTGCCCCCAAGATTTATATTTTTAAGTACTGTGTACAACTTTACTGCTCATAAGTTATAATAGTCTACTGTATATAGTTCCATGGTGGAAAAAACATACTCATGTACTTCAACGCTGCCAGTTATTTATCCATAAACTAGGGGGAGAATATAGAAAAGCCTAAAACAAAGATAATCCTCAAAATTAAGGATTTAGCTTCAAGCAACAATCGACGCTTAAACATTTTCTTTTTGGAAAGTAGATAAATTTTAGTTGCTGAAACTAACATAAGAATACATCGGCAATCCTCATGAGGTGTTCGTATACTTCTTATAACTTAGTCCCGACCGTTACTGCTACCTTGACGTGGTGGTCGGGCTTGCCTAACGTAATGAACCAACCAAGCTATTCTGGTTGGAACAATCGTTCCTCAAGGTCCTACCATGCCATATAGGTTGGTTGAAGAGCGGTAAGACTAAAATCAGCAGAGATGTGACAGCGGTAAGGTGTTTCCTCCAGACAGACAGCATAACAGCAACGCTGCCTTCTCATAAGGAAGGGTGGGGTCAGAAAAGGTTGACCCTAAGAATTTACAACTCGCCTTATCCCATGGATTTGAGTCTCCGGCGGTAGGGTTTCAACAAGTACGGAGCTAACAGGAAAAATACTCACAAAAAGGGTCGTGGGTGACCAGACTCCATCGGTTGTCCCTTGGGCACTGCGGTCACACCCTCAGGTCACTAAGACGACCTCTAACCCAATTTCCTTTACATATACTCCTAGAGGAACCCTTTCATGGCGTGGGAAAGCGGGAAGTAATAACCATCCTCATACCTCTAACAGCACCCATGATCACTATATTCACAATCGATTCCCTTCGTCAATTTCTGTTATTCCCCCTACCTCGACTTTCAGCTCTAAACTTCCTCCTCAAGTGTCACCATGGCCAACGATCCTAGTGAGCAAAATAATGTTCAGAGTCTACTGAAACCTCGCTCGAAACTACACATTGGAGCCTTCAACGTACGTACCATGTGTCAAATCGGCTAACCCTAGAATCTCGTACGATTGCTGTATGCTGTGTCTCCGAAACACGCATACAGGATCTTAGTGTGGTCATTCACTTGACCTCACCTCGCCAAAACGGAGAGTCGATGAGCTACACCGTCAGTGTAACTGGCGACCCGATGGCTAGTTCTCGTAGACTAGTGGGTGTAGGCATAGCACTAAATACGAGGGCAGAACGAGCACTGTTACAGTGGATCCCCGTTAACAGTCATCTATGTGCTGTTCGGCTGAACGGCTCCGTAAGAACTCGGAAGGACAGGGACACATGTTGTCTTTTCATCGTTTCTGCCTACGCTCCCATTGACTGCAGCCCGGATGAAGTGAAAGATGACTTTTACAGAAAGCTTTCTGAACTTCTTCAAGAAGCCAAACGCTCAAACATAGTACTCGTAGCAGGTTACGTTAATGTCCAAGTAGGTAGCTTGAACTAAGCAGAAAGACATTTAGGCGGGTATTTTAGTATTCCGGCTCAGCGAACAGATAATAGTAACTGTCTGCTTCAACTATGCTCAGACAATTGTTTATTTTTATCAGACACTAATTTATGCATAAGGAGAGACATCGTATAACATGGCGACTCTCTGCACCAAACCAACGATGGATTCAAATAAACCATATTCCTATTAGTCATTGTTGGAGGGTCGATAAAAGACTGTCGCTCGTTTTGGAGTACATGTTTAGACTCCGATCATGCATGCATTTGCCCGCGCCTCACTGAATGTAGAAAAGCCATATTAAGACCCACTAGAATTGAACTGAGTGACGAGAAAGGCGAAAGTAGATTCCAGGAACAGCTGAGGTCATACTTAAGCAGTTCTGAAAACGAGGTTGATCCACATGTTGCTTGGAAAGAAATACAAACAGCAGTGATATCTATTATTGATTTGGACCAAAGGGTCAAGAAAAGCCAGAGAATTTCTACTAAGTCTACTGCACTGATAGACCCTCGTAAACTCATCCTATCTGGCTCTAAACACGATAAAGAGCGAAAACGAATCAGATCTCGGTTAACCAAAAGTCTAAAGAACGACCGTGAGCAGTGGTGGGCAACGAAGACAAAAGAGATAGAAAAGGCAGCGACTGTAGGTAACCCAAGACAGCTTTTCAGACTAATAAAAGAAATTGCAACTAAGAAGTCAAGTGTAAGTGAAACGATCTCGGAAAAAGACGACACTTATCTGCTCTCAGCCCAGAGGTTTAGAACGATGAACAGTTTAGCTGGCCCTCAGCTACTTTACAACTACTCATCATTCCTAAACAGTCTGAATGAAATATTGAAGTAGCCCCCCTCCCGATTCTGATTGAAATTCAAAAGGCCACAGCTAATCTGAAACGAGGAAGAGCAATTGGTCCAGATGTGTTGGTTACAGAGGTCTTTAAGCATGGTGGTCCAGTTTTAGCGATTAGGTTGACCAATACTTTATCTAAAAACTGTGAGCTGAATGTAATCCCATCTGACTGGTCGCTCACTGATTGTCCCAATATATAAAAAGGGGTCAAAATCATCCTGTGATAAGCGTAGATGGATTAATTTGACTAATATAGCACCTAAAATACTAGCCTCAATAATTATCGAACGCCTAACAAAGACTTATGAACTGGAAACACGAGGACACACTGCAGCACACTGGCAGCACGAAGAAAGGAAGAGAAATACCTGGAGGAAGTATTTCAAAAGAATGGCTACCCAATCAACTTCATCAAAAAATACCAACCACATGCAGATCAGAGCACAAACCAAGCACAGAAAACAACAAACGGATCACCCTACCATATATAAATGGCGTATCAGAAACCGCAACAAGACTGCTAAAAACCTTCGGGATAGGTGTGGCACACAAACAGACAAAATCACTACAGTCAATCCTATGCAATCCAAAGGATGAAATAACAAAAGATGATAAGTCGAACATCATCTACAAAATAAATTGTGTCAACTGCGACAAACACTACATCGGACAAAGCGGACGCCCCTTCACCTGCGCCTACATGAACATCAATTAGCAGTCAAACGGCATGATATCTCCTCACTTATATCAATACACGTAGACAACTGTGGACACACATTCGATTGGAAAAATGTGGAAATCGTGGACAGAGGACATTTTAAATACACAAGAGAATTTTTAGAAGCCTGGCACTCAGGGCAATCAGCAATCAACAAACATATTGAAATCGATCCGATTTATCAACCAATCAAGAAACTTATGCACAAATATAGGAACAAGAATCAAACCAATAGGATACAAAACCAAGACAAAAAAGTAAACAATGACAAATTTAAGGTCAATAAGAACCAATCAACATCGAGGTGCACAGAACAAGCTGTGAAACGCGTATGGAGAAATTCGAACACTTCACTTTTATCTGAAGTTTGTGCTGATGATGTCGTTCAGAAGAACGATGAAAGTTCCACGACCAAACCATCCAGCTCAGAGAACAAAACTCCATCAAAGTCAAATATGTCTTAGAAATCTTGCTCGCATCTGCTGGGATCACCGAGTAAGTAATAGTGAGGTTAGACGCAGGGTATTAGAGAATGATGGTAAATCAGTTGATGAGATTGTGAATCTCCATCGACTGAGATGGCTGTGTCACTTATTACGCATATCCAATCACCAACTAGCACGGCGCTCAATGCTAACTAGTGTTGGAGACTGATGGGAGAAAATTAGGGGCGACCAAACCAAAACGTGGCATCAGTCCATAAAGTCACTAACTCCTGTTCTGAGCCATGTTAGTAGATGCAAACTACTTCGTTGGTGTCTGTGCGACTATCGTAACCAATCGTTGGAGACTCTGTGCGATATGGCTCAGAGTCGATCACCATGGCGTCAGCGTATACACCCATTGTCTTCCCTTAGACAGTGAGATTAAAATCGCTTCATATCTTTCTTTCTACGAACTAGTTTTTTTCTTCGTGTACTATGTCCTTATATGCAATCTTTCTTTTATATGTTACCACCATTGAAATAATTACTTTTATGAATTCGGTGTTCATCTTGTTGTGCTCATGAGGTGAGGCAACTTGGACCGATTCGTATATATGCCTTGTTCAACATTGTAGCTGACTGACTGACAACTCAGTAGAATCTTTTCCAATTCCAACAGAAAAACTGCTCACCAGTGACCGACTTAGAAGGAAATTCTAGTGAGAAGTTATGATAGTTGTACATTATCACAAATTGATTTGTGCTGGAAATGTGTACTACCGCATTCCGAATCACTGACGTAAAAAGCTGTGATCTGCAATATTTAAGCTCATCAGAATTCATATCAGACTTACACTAACTTTTACAACTATTGTTACATTCCTGAGTTACAGAAACCATCATTTTTCGAATGTTCTGGATAGAAATTTCTGATTATTATTGTAAAGTGCGATGCAAAAATATCAAGAATAAGTTCCTGCTTAAATGATATTTTCCGAATTGACTGCAATTAAGTGATGCGTAAACTTAGGCTTCCTAATCATTCAATTTAGTATTTATCATTATGAGCCAAATCCGTTGTTTAAGCAGTAAAAGTTCTATAGAACTCACAAAAATCCATTTTAAAAAACAACATAAACATTAAGTCAGATATTTTGAAAACAAATCCCCCAACTTATACCCATGATAAAACGTAATCTTACTTTGGCAAGGGCTTCAATTTGATGTAGTAAAAGGGGTTTGTTGCAGAATTCCACTATCGGTTTGGGATAAGTTAATGTTAAAGGCCGGAGTCGAGTGCCATAACCCCCAACTAAAATAAGTGCCTTCATATTGTTATATCAGTTGACCTTTTACAATAGAAAAATAAGCATGACTTGTTATTTACTGAAGAGAAATTAACTGTCGGCTTATCCGATTTTTTGTGTGAGAAATATAATCTTGTTTCTTAAAATGAAGTAGAACAAAAGCAACTCTCGGTTTATGATTAGATCTACTACGTTGTGATAGTTACATCCTAGGGCGGAAGATTGTTTGCAGCGTGTTTCCATTTCCAAAACAAATAAACGGGATAGGTGTTAAAATCATTGACTATTGTCTACATCATAAAAATACCCTAATTTTGGGCATAACAATTCCATAAAACATTGAGATGGGTCGACGTATAACTGTATGGTTTGGCCGTTAATTCAGGATATGAAGCAAAACAAGTTGCGTTGATAATTTAAAAGTTATAAGAAATTAGATGCACACTAGACAGCTTATACGAAGTGTCAATACTTAAAAATCAAACAGTGAGAGTTATATCAGGTAAACGTGGAATGGCATATTTGCCTGAATACATGCTAAAATATTATAAGGGCAATATATTTTCATACTTTTTATGGACTATATATATGTATACGCGTGTACAGTGGTTGCTGACATGAAATTTAGCTAAATAGGGAAAAAAAGACTAGGTATCCTGCATTTTCCATGGATGTACTTGAGAAGACAGCAACTATCGTAGCTAATAGGATGGTCTGTTTGCTAACATACCTGGTCAGCAACATAAAAACAGAAAACTGATAATAATGACGTATATAAATATACAGAAATGCTCGAAAAACGATAGACAGCTACAAACCAACCCCGAACAAGGCGGCGGCCAGCAGAGCATTAAAATCAATACAGTTAAACGAATGTATTATATCATTTCACAAATAACGACTTAGGTACAAAATGTGAATTTGAAATGAGAAGAGAATAGAATAAATCTTATCGTGTTGAAAGACTGACACGATTTCGGCATTTCGTTTTGTAATTGAATGTGTGGGAGGATAGATAAAAGAGACTGTTTTTGTAACTAGATTTGAACGGAATAACTTTATCATTGTTTTTAGAATTTTTATTTTCTTATTTTATCACGAATGCATTATAAATTACTGAAAATATAGGTCTTTGTTCTATGTCTTCCTTTGATAATAAGCTTACAAATTCTGAATTTTCTCTAACTACTATATCCACGTATGTTCATATAAATGAGTTTTCTGTTAAACAAATAGTTCGGTTTTTTGTGTTCTGACACGCTGAACATAATAACCAGACTTTCCTGCATCCTCGAAGTTGTACGAAGAATAATCATTCAAATATACATATAGTGACGCATAGCGAAAATGCATCTTAAAGTATGATCAATATGCGACTCCCACAAATAAATGCTTGATTAGTCACTCTGAAGGTCAGTAATCCTGAATAGATGAGATGAACATCTCTGGACAGTTTCCAGTAGTTGTGGGTGGCATTCACTTATTGAACTTATATTTATAAATAATTGATCACAAATTCCTACAGGTAAGGACATAGGTACAAAAAGCATGTGGAAATGTGAGAACTATTAGTGGAGTCTTAAGAATCCATCAAGTTGCTTCTTGAAGGGCTACAAGGAAGTTGCTTGAACCGGTTCTACTAGTGACTAATTCCTGAACATCACCATTTATAAGGAGTGAATTTTGTATTTGCAGTCACATCCTGTATTACACCTATTTCAAGGTATCATATCTAAATTTAGTGTTAAAAATGAACTTCAATATGTATTTTAGAGTATGCACAGGGGTATTAATGATGTTTTAAGCCACGGATTGAGTGCCAGTTATTTAAGACGTCGTTCACAAAGCTTGTATGTTAGTGAAAACATCAGTTTCCAACCACGCTATCCTTGAGGTTAATCCCCCAAAAAATGAGAAGGCATACTAAACTCTATAACTTGGTGAAGGTCAGAAAAGGTTTGGATGGGGACATTTCATCGAAAGGACATGACTCGTCCATACAAGTACAGTTACTCAATGCAATATTTCATTTTTCACTTTGAGCATAGTACTCAATCCTTTGCATATGCATGGTCCTAAAGGGTTCATAGTGACTTTCATGATGGGATGAGTCAGTCCACACTATGATATGACTTCAACGTAAGATCGCCCTCAACGTTGGATAATGTCGATTACTCTCTTAGTATAAATAAGTGCTGATTTACTGACTGACATTTGCATATGTCTTTCAGAGTATTGTTATCCTTCAGAAACAAAAAAAAACATTTTGTAATGGAATCGTATTAAATTATGTTGACACTTTGATCACGTTATATTTTTATTATCTATGTACGTCATGAGCAACTAATAACATTCCGACTCATTTCATCCAGTTGTCAGTTTGCTTGTTTTCTGCACCTAATTTCATATTTCATTAACGATTACAATGTATACTTAATGATCATACCACTCTCTGACTTCCTGTAATTTTGAATATTGTAACCATATTCCGTCGCTTCATTTTTAAGGCGATACTCTTAATAATCGCATTACACTCGAAGTCAAGTGTACATGAAAGAACTAACAACTTCGTCTCTGTGTTGTACATGAATTTAACGCCCAAAACAGACGTCGCTTGGATTCTTTAGAGCCTGTATTGAAGGTTAGACACCCATCTCTCATGCAGATCAATCCAAAACATAATGCTTGAGTCAGGTACTTTTCTAATCACATAGATTGAAATTACGAATCATACGAAATGATCAAAAAACAACACGAAAAGAGCACACAGCATGTAAAGTATTTCAAAAAAATTCAGATACAGTGAAGTCCGAAATACACTACGTTTTAAATCGCTGAGGTTCGAAATCGTCTACTTATAAAAAATCAGTCAGGGCCATTCTAATCAAAGAACGTCCATAGTGAATATATGAGTCAACCAACTCAGAAGGCAGATGTACAAAGCCTCAGATAGCAACAAGCTTTACTACTCAACAAGAAACGCTGTTTATATCGTTAGAGATAGTCAAGCATTCAACCAAACAGTGATAACGAAAAACTCAGTTACTCATTATGGCACCCACCGAAGTTCAATAATCGAATAAAATAAGATCACAAGAGACAGTGGAAAACTGTATCATATAAAAAAACCGCAATGCCAAATAAGATGAGTGATACCAATCTACGGACGAAAAGATGAACTTAATGTTCCAGTCAAGGCACCAGAAACGAAAATCTTACATTTTAAAAGGTAAATAATTAAGTAAAACGTCCTACTATGAAACCAACCAGAAATGTGTCTCAAACTTACTTGTGCAGAGTTCTCTCTAGAGACATTTCGCTGAGTTTGGCATAAGATTTAAGATCACAGAGCGTCAAAAAACCTGATTTTTCTCTAACCTGTGGCACGTTTAGAATTTGAAGTGTCTGTTAACCACTGTGGTTTCAAACTTCCGTCAAAAGCTTGACGTTGTCAGCAAGAGATGAGGTTACAGAGAAAATTTAAGTGGTGAAACCCTACTGCGAAATTTCGTCACTTGAATAAGCGAGAAATTTATCCGGGCCGTAGGACGTCCAATATTTAGATATGACTTAAGCCACCATATCGAAACTTACAAACTGGCTCGTAGTCTACCGTACCCGTGCAACCAACATTAATCTTCGACTTATCAACGGCAGTCCCAAGGTTCATGATACTGCTAATGGAGTGAGAAAAAGTGAATATTAGATAGTTGCGTGACTTACCACAAATTAGAGACCCTGTGGAGCCTAGTCGTATTGAAAATAGTATGAATAGCCAGTAGCTCAGAGGATCATTCTATTGACATTATTTGCAGGTGGGAGAGATAGATGTATATCTACCTCCAAGTGTTTAGAACCTTACCTTAATCTGGGAAATATGAGATAAAAACCTTATATATGACATCAGGAAAAAGGTAGCTTCCCTTAGCACAGCATGGCGATCACTATACAAGCTTCCGAATGTGTACCTTTTAGGTGCTGTGATGCATGCAGTTTAAGTATGTTATTGAACAAATACATTTTGGTTTAGTCCGTAAATCGTCCTCATTTAATTCACCTTCTTGTGTTGACAGATATAAATAACATACACCACATATATACTCCTATACAAAAGGAATATCTCGAAGTAGATTGTCCATTAACCTTTCAACTGTTTGTTCCGCGTTCTTTAGGCCGAAAGGCATGCGTACAAACTCGAACAATCCGAAGAGTGTAGTAATAGCTGCCTTAGGGATATCTTCTTCAGCTGTGGAGGTACTATAAAATTCCCTAACTACGTCAATTTTAGTATGTTTGTATCCTGTAAGCCATTTTTAAAATCATGAATATGAAGCATTAGGTACCTATCTGGTACTGTTTGACGATTGAGAGATCTGTAATTTTCAGGCAATCGCCAATCGTCTTCATTTTTATTTGTGACTACATGAAGAGGGGATGCCCATTGGTTATCAGATGGACGGATAATATTCAGCTGTAGAAACAATTTTTATAGGTAAGCGAAACGTCCGGACAATGTGAGAGAGCGAAAGGGCCAGTCGAATAGCTACGGAAATGAGGAGATACAACTTGGCATTACTGGAAATTAGAGAAACCCATTGGATCAAAGCTGGACAACAAAGATTAGATACGGGAGAGATGCTGCTATACTCCGGTCACGAAGAGGAAAATGTTCCACAAACTCAGGGAGTTGCTCTAATGCTGTCCAAAGTAGCACGAAATGTGCTATAGCGTGTGATCCGCCTATTAGAGAGCAGCGTATTATCGATCGAAACAGTGACGCATAAAATACGAGCGAGCAGCCTAGAGTCCTGATTGGCCCTGTTTTCCTGTCTAGCCCAGCCAATTGAGTCCAGAACACAAGTCTCAGCCTCGGTGATATGTATCATTATATTTCAAACATACTCTGTTTATATAGCAATCAAACAGACTACATCGTACCATAAAATAGAAAGTAACATTTGTACAAGATTTAACCTTCAGGAAGTGACACAAAAAAATATTGACCAATAGGGAAATGAAACGTT